CCAGCAGCAGGATGCCCCAGAAGCCGTGCACCTGCAGGCGGCCGCGGCACGGTGGGCGGGCAGGTGGTTGCAAGCTGGGTGCACACACACGCACACGCATGCCAGCTCATGATGACACTGCAGTCAGCTTGTGTCCCCCAAACATGTGCCGCTGTGTTTGGGTGTTTGAGTGCGAATGGGGGTGCGTGTGGGGTGTGGGGTGCCAGCGAGTGGGTGTGCAGGCGTGAGGAGGCGCCTGGGCGAAGATGAGGCAGGCCGCCCGTCCCTCCCACGCCACTTAAGTGCCCCACCTACCTGGATGAAGTGCAGCATCCAGTTCTTCATGCGGTTGACCAGCGCGGTGAGCGGGCCTGCAGCACACGCGCCACACGGCGCCAGCAGCGGGGCCGCGGGGATGATGCGTCAGCGGGCCTCCCGAGGCGCCCCAGCCACGGCTGCTTAGCGCCACGGCAGGGCAGGACGGCAGCCGGCGCGAGCAGCAGCGCTCGAGTGAACATGCAGCAGTGCGCACTGCGCTCCAACATCAACCGGCAGCGGCGGGCAAGGGCCCAACATCAACCAAGCCCCCCACACCTGCGCGCCCGCTGCTGCCGTTGGGCCCCCCTCCCAGCATTGCCTCCACCTCGGCGCTGCGCTTGCCCGCCTTGGCCGCATGGTAGCTGAGCGCGTAGGGAGGCACCTCCCCCAGCGCCGTGCCCGCGCCCCACAGCACCGCCGTGGCAACGACCTGCAGGCGGCGGCCAGCCGGGGCGAGGCAGGGGAATCGTCGCTAGGTGGGGCGAGCGCCTCCGTACACAGCAAGGGTGCTTGTGGGCAGGTGCAGGGCGGGGCGGGCGCTGGAGGTGACTCAGGAGGCCCAGTCGCCCTTTCCCACTTCCCACAATGTCGCCACCATCACCGCCGCCAACCACCAGCTGCCACGCACGCCCACTGGCCGGCTGCAGCATGCAGGCACCCTCTTGCCTTCTTGTAGATGTCCCAGAATGAGATGAAGCCGCCCGCCGCCGCCAGCCCCGCGTCCTCCCCGCAGTGGAACCCCTCGCTGCTCCACCACATGTCTGCGCGGGCGTCAAAGCGCAGGTGGCCGCAGCGCTCGGCGGCCAGGCAGACCTACAGTGGCGGCGGTGGCGGTGTGTGGGTGTGGTTGTTGTTGTGGCGGTGGTTGTAGTGGTGTGTGGTTGTGCGAGCAGGAGAGGCCCCAAGCAGCGAGGGACCGGCGGCGTTGGCAGGCACGACTGCCTCAAGAGCGCTGGCATCGCTGCCGCTTGCGCTGCGGGCTGAGCTGATGGGAGGCTGACGGAGAGCAGCGGCGAGCGGCCGGCGCGCACCTTGAGCATGTGTGGGAAGAGGAAGAGGAGGCCCGAGTGCATGCCGGTGCCGAGACCGATGGAGGAAAGCACGCCCAGGCCCACCCACCACACGACGTACTGCAGCCACATCTCGGCCTCGCGCACTTCGTAGGTCAGGTAGCCGCTGGCCTTGAGGGCGGCGTACAGGAGCAGCACGGGGACGAGGATGAAGAGGGTGAGGGGGTGGGAGGCCAGCCAGCGCGCGCCGCGGGCGGCGGCCGAGGCGGCACACGCGCCAAACGTGGCCAGCGTGCGCAGCGGGGAGCGCAGCAGCGTCAGCCGCGCGCGCCGCTCGTTCAGCTCCGTGCGAAGCTGCAGGGCAGGCCGAGGGAGGTTCAGGAGACGCGGACGGTTGGCAGGCTGGCAGTAGGCAGCATAGGGCGTCGGGTGGCGGCGGGTGGGCCCGGCGGAGGGACGCCCAACAAGTGGACCGACAGTCGCACCTCCGCTGCCGGTGCAAATGCCAGCGCGTGTGTGCAAGGCAGCGTGCACAGGCGCCCCAGGTGCTGCACCCCCACCTGCTCCACTCGAGCTTGCTGTTCGGGACTGAGCTGCGCAGCGAGCTCCCGGAAGGTGCTAGACTGCCTACTGGTGTCCCCCATGCCTTCTAACGTGCGTGAGGCGCCGCGAGAGGGCCGCGTCGCGATGCCGTCGCTGCAAAAGTCGGCTCACCAGCGGGAGCCGCCCCGTACGCCAACCACTGAGGCCCACCGGCGATGCTACCAGCCGGGAATATGCAGGAGCGGCCGCAGACGCCTATCTGACGCTCCCTTTCCATTCCCCCTTTCTAAGCCGACTGCCGCCTCCTGGAGCAAGCTTGGTTGGGCGCGCTGGCTGTTCTCAATAGCAGCAGGGACTTATAAGGCATTTCGAAGCGCTAACCAGGTGCGGGTGGCAGGGAGGCGAATATTGGCTTTCGAGGTGGATCGGATGGGCGCCTGGGCACCCTCAGACCACCCCAAGGGAGGCTCCCGGCACCCAAGTGGATGTTGGCAATGACCCGGCCCGCCCCGCGCCATGCAGCGCCCACTGCAGAGCCTTGGACCGCGGCCGCCGCCCCGTCTTCCCGCCGCCACCTGCCCTCCTTCCACCCATCGCCATGGCTACTGCCGCCGCCGCTCCCTGGGCCCCAGAGCCGCTCCTGGATGAGAACCCCGACCGCTACTGCATGTTCCCGCTGAAGGAGGACCGTGTATGGAGCCAGTACAAGAAGGCCGAGGCGAGTCGGCCGTCTGGGCAGGCTCCAAACGATCCTCTCTGCATGGCTCACGTGCCTGGCGGTGGCGGCCGCTCTGACGTCCCATGCCGCCCCACCTGCCGCAGACCACGTTTTGGACCACGTTTTGGACGGGTGGGTCGCCGCACTGCCAGCCTGCGGCACGCCAGGCCCTCCAGCTGGCCTCCCAAAACATGCCTTGCGGCGGCGTGCTGTGCCGCCGCCGCCGCCACTGCGCGTTCATCCAGCCACCCTCCCTACTAGGTTAGTAACCAACACGTACATGCAGCCATTATGACCATCACCTACTCCCACACTCTCTCCTGCAGCCGAGGATGTAGACTTCAGCAGCGACGCCCGCGACTGGCAGGATCGGCTGGCGCCGGGGGAGCGCTCCTTCCTTTCCTCGGTGCTGGCCTACCTGGCGGCCTCGGGTGAGCTGCGAGCAGACTCTGCCGACCAGGAAGAACATCATCGGACGCAGCGGGGCGCCGCGCGGCTGGGGCTAGGCCAGTACTGCTGGCAAGGGAATGCCTGCATTCGTATCTCTGGGCCCCGTCCCAGACAGCCGGACGGGGCCTGTCCTGCAATGAAATGTCGCCTGCTAGCCACCTCCTGCCCTGCAGACCGCCTCATCCAGCACAAGTGCGCCTCATGATTTCTTCCGCCGGCGGATGCTTTTCCGATTGTCGCCGCTGCTGCCGCTGCCGCTGCCGCTGCTGCGCCCTTAGCCGCAGCCGTCTCACCTCTTGCTGTGGGTGCCATTCATGCCTGCCCCAGCTCCACCCTGCCGCAGCGTCGTGGCCCGCTTCATGATTGATGTGGAGCTGGCCGAGGTACGGCCTGGTTGTACCGCTATCAAAATGGTGCTGTACCGCTGGGAGCTGGCAGCTGTGGCACCCACCAGTGGGGCATGCCAAGGGCAAAACACTTGTGCTGTGTTTTTTTGATGTGCTGTGCTGTTCTGCGCGCTGCCGCAGGCCAGGGCCTTCTACGCTTTCCAGCTGTTCAAGAAGAATGTTCACACGGGTGCGGTGTGGTGCCTGGCAGTGTAGCATGCTGTCCTGGAAGGCTGCCAAGGTCTTGAAAGGCGCTGGCCGCCGACGCGGCTCCTGCTCTGCCTGGCGTGCAGAGATGGTCAGTGCAATCCTGGCGGCCCTGTTTGCTGGCAAGGAGGAGCAGCTTGCGGCCGTGCTGAGGACTGGTGCGCTGTCCCCCGTTCCTTTCCTCGGTGCCCAGCGTGCGGCGGTGTGGCATTGACCGCCCAGCCGGCCGGCAGGCCATGTGTCATCTGCTTGCTCAAGTCCAGCCGACGCATGCCTGCCCTGCAGTCCTGGCGCTGCCCGCCTTTCAGGCCAAGGCCGCCTGGGTGCGCAAGTGGATCAACAGGCAAGCCACCGCCGCTGCTGCTCTGCCGCCGCTGCTGCTGCCGGTGCCACCGCCGCCTGCGCCTGGATTGTCTCTTGGTTCACATTCAACCCAGGCGGCGTGACTTACTCGCTTGCTGCCTGCAGCGGCGCCAGCTTCCCGGAGCGCCTGGTGGCCTTCGCCGCCGTCAGCTCTGTCTTCAACGCCGGCAGCTTTGCGGGGCTGTACTGCTTCAAGAAGGCGAGCAGGCACCTGCCCCTGTCGTGGCCCGTCGCAGCTTGCCTGCTGCCACCGCTGCCAGCGCCGCTTTTGCGGTCCCCTGCTGCCGCTGAACCAGTGCACGTGCCGCCCCGGGCCCCGCCTCTGCCCGCTCGCCCGCGTGCCTGCAGCGCGGCCTGCTGCCCGGCACGGGCCACGCCACCGACCTGATCAGCAGGGATGAGGGCGTCCATGTGGAGTCTGCCGGGGTCATGTACTCGTGAGCTCAGGGTCCAGGGCGGCGCGGCACTGAGTGGTGTCACCAGCGGCCCTGTGCCGCTCGCATGCACAAGTTCGCCGCATGGCTGGTTCATCCTGCGAATGCGTCGCGCACTGGACAGTTTCTTGGCCACCCCGGGAATGGGCCGTTGCCCCGCCCACCCACCCACCTCCCCGCCACCGCCCGCCCCATGCAGGCTCCTGCGCTCCAAGCTCACCGACAGCCAGGCGCAGGGCATCGTGGGGGAGGCGGTGGAGGCTGAGCGCGCCTTTGTGTGCGGCCAGCTGCCGCTGGAGGCAACTGGTCTGGAGGCGGGCGCCATGGAAGAGGTGGGCCCGGCTTGAGCCAGCAGTGCCAGCATGTGGAGCTGGCTCAAAGCTGCGGGCGGTGGGTTGCATGGAGTGTGTGCAGCAGCCGGGGCACACACCGGAGCATCAGCCCCATAAATGCCCCGACCTCGCCAGCTGCTTCCGTCGTGCCGCCTGCAGTACCTGCAGTACGTGGGGGACCGCCTGCTGGGCGCGCTGGGCCACGCGCCGCTGTACCGCGTCGCCGCCAACCCCCTGCCCTGGCTGGAGGGCATCGCCATGAAGTGAGCTGCCGGCATGCTGGCTGCAGGCGCTTGCCAGCTGGGAGGGCAGGCTGGCATCTGTTCTGGCTGCACAGGACGCCCAGGCCGATGAGGAGCGGGAGCGGATGTGCAGTTGGTTGGCCTGCCTGCTTCTGCTCCACGCTCCATGCCGATTGGATGCACTATAAACCCTCCCTCCCTGCCCTGCCCTGCGCTGCCGCTTGCCCACAGGGCCCCTGAGGTCAAGGCGGCTGCGGCTGCCGGCAACATCGGCGGGATGAGCCGCGCTGGGGCTCTGGCCATGGCGGCGGGCGACCGAAGCGGCGGGCTGGCTTTTGATGAGGACTTTTGAAGCGGGAGGGCACCTGGGGCGGCAATGTTGTTAAACTTGCCGACTGACGGCAATTGGCACGGTGAGACGGGCTTGCTGAGGAGGAGAAGCTGGCAAGGGCTGATGGCGCCCTGCTGACCTGGTGGTGCACTGCTATCTGGCCTGGCAAGCCAGGCGGGTTTGCTGCAAGTGCTGCATTGCGTCTGCCGCAACGATGCGCTCATTCACAGGATCGTGCATTAAACCAGAGCAAAACAAAGGTGGTAAACCAGCAAAACTTGGTGAGCAAAACAGGCAAAATCTAGGATGCACTGGGCACTGCATGCAGCCTGGGGAAAGCTGTCCAGTACCTCCCGGCTGCTAAAGGGGGCAAGGCGGCCGCACACGGGCACGCGCTAACGAATCGGCCCGCCGCGGCAGGCTTGGAGCGGCAGCGCGCCGCCTCCAAAGCAGCGCGCCGCCTCCGGGCCTCCCTGCCGGCCCTCCTCCTCCTCCTCTACTCCTCCTCGCTGTCCGACTCCGTCTCGGTGTCCTGCTCCAGCCACTCGACAAACGGCCTGGCCGCCTCGCGCACCCGCGCGCCGCCCTCCGCGGGCACCTCCAGCACGCCGCCGGCAGTGGCCTTGTGGAACCTGCAGGCGCGGGGAAGAAAGGACGGAGGCGGGGCGGGGCGGGGGTGGGAGACGGGGATGCAAGGGCCAGGCTGGCAGGCGGCGGCACGGCAACACCCACGGCGGCGGTCGCAGGCGGGCGGCGCACGCCGCAGGCCGCAGCCGGGAAGCCGGGCGCACACACCCACGAAACACCCACGAAAAAACCGCATTAACAACCAGAACTGCGGGCTCACCAGGCCAGGATGAGCTCCTCGGCCACCACATCCGAGTCGTACAGGGCCTTGAGCACCAGCGGTGCCTCCCGGCTCCTCTCAGGCAGCTCCACAGCCAGCAAGTGCTCGAGCGCCACCAGCTGCGCCAGCTGGCTGGCAGGGTCCTGCGAGGCGGCAAGGGAGGCGCGGCGCGGCGCGGCGGGGCGGGTCGGTTGTGGGGTCGGCAAAGCGCCTAGGGACGGCCGCGGCAGGCGGAGGGAAGGGAAGAGGAGGTGCCGGGGGCGCATGGGCCAAGCGCACACAACAGGCTGGGATGCCACGAAACAGGTGCAGCTGCAGCAGGCGGGAGCGCTCCTCCCAGCACACAGGGGACGCGGCAGCGGAGAGGCCTGGGCGGCGCGGCAGCCTGCTCACCGCCGCCGCCGCCTTGAGGTACTTCTTGCGCTCCACCACCAGCGGGGTCAGCTTGGCGCCGGCGCCGGCGTTGGCAAAGAGCGCCTGCACACGCAGAGGAAGGTCGGCGCCCGGCAAGGCGAAGAGGGTGGCTCGGGTGGAGGCTGGGGGCACGCCCCGGCAGCTGATGGCACCCCACACAGGCCCGGCTGCCAGCAGGCTCCAGCACCAAACCAGGCAAGCGACACGCCAACGGAGGCGCCGCATCAGCCGGCCAGCCCGCGCAGCGCCCACAGGCAGGCAGGCAGGCAGGGCGGCCCCCCTAACCACAACGTGGGCCGCACCTCGTAAAGCACGTGCATGCGCGCCGCGGGGCCGCCCTTGACAGGCAGCTCCGCCAGCGCGTCGGCCACGGCCTTGGAGCCCTTGCCCGCTGCAGGGCGGCGCAGCGAGGGGGCACGGCTTCATTCATATATATGTATATACACCCTCAGCCAAGAGCCTTCACCAGCCAGGCGCCTTGTGCCTACACCTCAGCCAGGCGTGCTGACAGGCGCCAGCCCACGCCCCACCAGCCAGGGGCTCGTGCCTAGACCTCAACCAGGCAGCGGCCGCCGTCGACCGGGCCGAGCCATCAGCCAGGCGCGGCACAGGGCGGCGCGGCAGCAGCGCGGCAAATGTGTTGCGCCAGCAGGCAGCGCCAGGGCACAGCGGCCCGCTGCACCCACCCTGCACCATGGCGCGCACGGCCCAGACGTTGGGGTCGGTGGCGGCCTGCTCCGCCGCCAGCTTCTCCGCAGCTTCCGCCGCCAGCCGCTCCTCCTCCGCCGCCGCCAGCCGCGCCGCCTCCGCCTCGGCCTCGGCCTTGAGCCGGGCCGCTTCTGCCTCCGCCTCTATGTTGCCCTGGATCACCATGGCTGCAGTGGCCGCCGACAGCTGCTCCGCCGCACGCTTGCGCATGGCCTCCTCTGCAGCGAGACAAGGCAAAGAAGACAGGCAGACAGGCAGGCGGGCTCAGGTGGCATGCCCAGACGGGCTGGCTGGTCCAGAGGGCAGACAGCGAGGCAGCGAGACATATGTCCGAGCCACGGCACAGCCCAGCACCAGGCACGACTGCGCTTGGCCCCTCGGCACCCGACGGCGGCTGTGCCTCTGCGACTGCGTCGGCACAACAGGCCAGGCCGCTGGGGTGGCCGGCCCTGGCCGGAGTGCCGAGGGAGCAGCAGATGCACAGCTGCCGCGGGTGCCCAGGCACCCAGCACACAGCGCCCCACCCCGCCCAGCGGGGCAGGAATTAAATGCGCCCACCGCTGCCGCCGGCGGGGCCCGCAGAGGCGCCGCCGGCGCGTGGATGCCCGGGCGTGCTCTGCTTGTTGGGATCACTCTACCCTGGGACCTGGCCCCACCACACCACCCGTGCACCGCCGGTCGCCACCCGCAGCCCAAGAACCCAAACGGCCCAGCACAGCGCAGCCCACAGCCTCCAACACAGACGAGCGGTGCTCCCAAGCAGGGATAGCGGCGGCGGCAGCTTATGCGGCACCCACCGGAGGTGTCGGCCAGCCACTCCACATCGTCCTCATCCTCCTCATCCTCATCCTCATCCTCCTCGCCGCCACCCTCAGGCGACTCAGGCGACTTGTCCTCCCCGTTTGCCCCATCCTCGCCCTTCTCCTTCCTGCGCCAGAGGGGCACGGCGGTTGAGACCAGGCAGCGTGTCAGCACGCGCGCGGGCAAAGGCCCTGCCAAGCAGAAGCAGCAGCTGGCCGCCAGCTGCCGCCGCGCACAAATCCAGCTCGCCGCCCACCGCCCATCACCCAACCCCAACTCACTTCTTCTTCTTCTCCTCCTTCCTCCTCTTCTTCTCCAGATCTTCCAGGCCCTTGAGCCGCTCCTTCTCAGCCTTCTTCACCCTGGAGCAGAGCAGCCGCCAACGCACGCGGCAATCAGGCAACCGTGGCAGCCGCACCATCCCCAACCCCAGCCGGCGCCTCAGCAGCGCGATCTGCAAGCTAGGACGCTGCAGCGCCAGCCTGCCATCCAAGTTTTGCAGCAGAACCACCGCCACCGCCGCCGCCAGCCTCACTTCTTCTCCGCCTTGCTCAGCTTGTCCTCAGGAGGGTTCTTAATGATGTAGCCCACCAGCTTCTCCTTGGGACTCACCTCGCTGCGGGGCGGGCAGCGGGCGCGCAGCAGGTAGGGTGTGAGAAGTCAGGGGAGCGGGGAGCTACGTCCCCGTTACCTGGCGCAGGGAGGACGCCCCAGCAACGCAGCCCGGCCGGGCCGGCCAGCCGCCTGGGCTGGGCAGTAGGCTGGCAGCGGCAGCTACGCCGCGCACACCTGACCGCCCCGCACGCCTTGCACTTGAGCTCAATCGTCTCGCTGCGCTTCTTGATCTTGATGACGGTCTCGGGGTTGCCGCAGGAGTAACACTGCACAAACCTGCGCGCGGCAAGGGGAGGCGGCGGGGCGCAGGCAGCACATGCGTCAGCCATCATGCATGTGGCCGCACGGGCGTGCGGCAGCTGGGGCCTGCTACCACGCCGCCAGCCTGTCCTGCCAGCTGTTGATCCCCTGCGGCGGCCAACGGTCGGCCGGCCGGCCGACGAAAGCAAGCGGGCAAACACCGGGCGACGCAAGCAAGCAAGGACATGCCGCCCCTCACTTCTTGATGAAGCCCTCCAGCAGCTCCGACAGCCGCCCCGCCTCGTGCGCGCCGTTGACGATGCTGTTGCCGCTCTTCTTGTCGTAGTTCACCATGGCACCCAGCTCAAAGCCAAAGTACTTGAGCGCGTCTGGTGGGAGGGAAGTTGGGAAGGAGAGAGCAAGGGAGGGACGAGGAGAACGGGTGAGGGGCAGGGAAGGAGGGCCGGCGGCAGGGAAGGCCAGCCCTCGGCGGCACGGGCGGGCGGCTGAAGGGAGGCGGCGAGAAGCCCAGCAGCAGCAGCAGCAGCAGCGGCGGCGGCGGGCGAATGCGGCGGCGAGGCGGCGGCGGAGCTCACAGTCGGGCGCGCGCTCCAGCGCCTTTGCGATCTCCGCGTTGTTCACCACATTGGTCTTGATGCCGTTTCCACGCCCCTCAATCTGCAGCCCAAGGTCGCAGAAGGAACGGATAAGGACCAACAGTCCAGGCGAGATGGCAAGGTCCCAAGGCGACCCGAGGCGGCAGCGGCGGAGGCGGCGGCGCACCCGGGCCTGCAGCTTGGGCATCTTGTAGCGGTAGAATGCGTCGCCCGCATTCTCGCCACCTGCAGCGGTGTGGGCAGGGCCGATCAGCGGCAAATGAGCGGCGGCAATGTGGGTGAGGCTCCCCTCCACCTGCATGCAGGGCCCTACGGCCACGCCACTGGTCCCTGACAGCCTCTACCCACCAATATTGATGCTCGCCATGGTGCCTGGGTGTCTCAGTCGGGTCTGCTCCGCCGCCTGCAGCGATGACGCCCTCGGCGCTGCTGCTGCTGCTGTTGTCTAGGTAGTGATTGCCCGTGCGCCAGCTCGGGTATTTGCATACACGCCCGGCTGCAGTGAAGGTGTGGGCGGAGCAAGGGGGACGGCTTCGAGGCCTCCAATGCGGCGGCCAGGGGCACAGGCAAGCGGGAGAGGGCCAGGGGACAGAGAGCCGGCAGGTGAGTGGTGCGGGAGCGGGAGCGGCCCGACTTCTTCTGGGAGGCATCGCCTCGCTGGCGGCAGCTGCGGCGTGGCGCAGCGCGCCGCCGCCGCAATGTGCAGCTTGGAGCTCAGCCGGCTGCCACGCAGCACTTCTGGCAAGCCTGAGAGCCAAGCGGCTCCCTGGGCGGCGGGACCTTCTAGAAGCGGCGGCGAGGGCGACTGATGTTGTTACAGAGCTTCCCGCAGCCCAGGTGTGCGTCCCCTCAAGGCTGGTAGTCAAAGTACCACTTGAGCACCAGCTTGGTGGGGTTGATGCCCAGCAGGAGGGCCAGCGGCAGCGCCACCACGATGCCGGCAATGGGATACAGGAAAACCTGCAGGACAACACGCGGGCGGAGGAAGGTGCGGAGGTGTGGAGCTCAGAGGAGAAGCGGGAGCTGGCGACTGCTGTGAAGCAAAGGGGAGCAGCGGGATGCCAGCACAGCGGCTGGAAAAGCGGAAGGGTGGGCCAGCTGGGAGCAGCAGCAGCTGGCAGCGCCAGCGGTAAGCTTCAAGCAGCCGCCCGCCTCGCCGCCCCAGCCCCAATCTCACAGCAGAGCATCTCCCGTGGCAGCAGCAGCACCCAGAGCGGCGTCAGCCCACCTCTGTGCGTTCCAAGAAGGGCAGCGCCGAGTAGCCCAGGAAGGTGATGTAGACGTAGAAGGCAGAGCCGACAGCGTACAGGACTGCGGGGCAGGCGCGGGGTGGGTTGGGAAGGTAATGGCGGGCCAAGGGAGGCGTGGGGCACATCAGCAGCCAAGCCATGCAGCGGAAGGCAGCACTGAATGCCAACAGCAGGTGGGCACAGCTTGAGCAGCAGCGGCGGCAGCCCGGCAGGCACGCAGCTCTCCTTCTGGCGGCAGGCCCGGCAGGCCCGGCACCCAGCCACACAGCCCTCCTGCCAGCCAGGCCTGCCCACCTGCTGACAGCACTGTGGCCACAAAAGTGTGCATGAGCAGCACAGGGCACAGCACCAGCTGGAGCACGTAGAGCAGCAGGAACATGGGGAAGAAAGCGTTGCAGTGCACGTCAAATGCATACATCCTGCGGGCGGAGCAGGCGGGCGGCACAGCACAAACGGCAATTCAAAGGCTGCGGGCTTCGGCCAGCTGCGCCGAGCGTGCTTCGCAGGCAGCGCCCAGCAGCAGCGCATCACCGCCACCTGCCCCGAGCACAGCCAGGCCAGCCCAGGCCCACACACCACTCCACCGACTGCTCCACCGCGTGGCTGTGCTGGTTCTGGCGGCGCAGGAAGCGGTTGGACAGCGCCCAGCCCGCCGTGGCTATCGCGGCGCCCACCGCCAAAAAGTCGACCGCCACGGCAGACACAATGGTGAGCAGCGAGCGGCCCACGCTGTGGCTGAAACTGCAGGGGAGGCAGGGGAAGGTCGCAGAGCGCAGCCGATGAGGGTGGGCGGGTCGGGAGCCCGGCCTGCCCGAATACAAACTCCAGCATCCCTGCCGGCTCGGCAGCTGCTCCGCGTTCCCGCCCTGGCCCCTCCCCTGCGCTGCCGCCCCTCTTAGCGCGCAGCGGCAGCAGCGGCGGCACGCACGCTAAGCAGTAGGCCAGCGCGGCGAGGGCCACCAGGGTGCAGCAGATGACCACAAAGGCGGGGTCGTCACGGGCCCAGTGGTTCTTGGTCTGCTTGTGGTACGAGGTGTGCCGGTACGCTGTCTTGGGCGAGATGCACAGCTGCAGCATCGTCCAGAGCGTGTACCTGCGGAGCACCCAGCAGCGGCGAGCGTCGGGCGTGGCAGCCGGGCGGGTCGGTGGCGGGACGCCGCCCTCCCCCTGCTGCCGCCTTAAGCCTGGCCCGCCCGCCCGCCCCGCTCACTGGAAGTCCATCTGCGTGGGCTTGAATAGCCGCCTAAAGTAGAGCCACAGCAGCGAGTAGCGGCTGTGGCGCCGCTGCTTGCTGCTGTGCCCCGGGGGAGGTGAGCTTGTAGGCAGCATGCTGCCTGCCTAGCCGCTGGCGCCTCGGCGATCGGGCAGCCGAACAGGGCTCAAGCGCAACGATCGAGCGATATCGCAGCTGTCGGGAGGGCGTGGAGGGAGCGCCGATGAAATGATCTGCAGCTGGGGGGTGTGCCTGTGCCCACCAGCAGCGCAGAAGAGCCCAGAAAAGCAAAGTTGCCGCCGGACTTTCCTCCGACCTTCTCGGCCCCTTTTCTGCCCCTCTGCGCTCTTTGCGCATCCATTTGGCGCTCCGAGACACTTTCGAACATCCACAGATCAATTTCATCAATTTACCGCGGCCATTGGAGGCTGTGGAGCTTCCTGGCCGCCACTGATCGCCCGTTTTTCGTCATCTCCCCACACCAGCATCCCTGGCAGCTACCTGCTGCCTCTTAGCGTACGACACAGCCATTACTGGCCGCCGGGACCCTGCCGCCGCATCCTGGCGGGCGTGGCTGCCGGTCCTGCCGCCGCCGCCAATGCCCGCTGAACAGAGGCAATGGACCTGACAGAGGAGGAGCTGGAGCTGCTGGAGCCGCACCCAGACATCCATGCCCTGTTTGTGCACTACAACAGCCTCTATTTCGAGGAGAAACTGGGCGCCTGCTCCGGTAGGCGTTGCTGCTGCTGCTCTGGTTCCGCTAGCGGCGACCGTGCCGCAGAGCCGTTTGCTGCCTCTCACCACCTCTGCTGCAGTCGAGTGGAGCAGCGCGCGCATGACCCTGTGCGGCGGCGTGTGCGAGTTCCGGAAGGGCGGCGGCTGCCGCATCAAGCTCAGCGAGCCGCTGCTCAAGGTGCCGTGGTGACTTTCTAGCCAGCTCGGCGATTGGCCGTGAGCAGTACAGCTGTGCGTATGCACTCCTGCCCAGCAATGTGCCGTTCCCTGGCTGAAGGGCCGCCGCGCGTGCACCTGTGCCTCACCTGCCCATCCCTGCCCCGCCGCTCGCCGCAGCTGCGCCCCAGCCGCGACCTCAAGTTGGTGCTGCTGCACGAAATGATCCACGCCTGCATGATGCTGCAGGGTGCGCCCGTGGCAGCACCTGCAGCAGCGCTGGCAGCAGCAGCTCTGTTTGGCAGCCCTGGGTCCCCGCCCCTGTGGTTGCTTTTCTTCCAAGTCACGCTTGCGCACGCCATCAAACTGCCCTGGCTTGTGCGCTTTTCCACCTGCCGTGGCCTGCTCGTGCTCCTCCTGCAGGCATTCGAGACAACGACCCCGGGGGCCACGGCGACGTGTTCAAAAGCATCATGAGCCGCATCAACGCCTCCAGCCTGCCCGACCACCAGCGCCCCGCCGGCGGGTGCGCCCCGCACGCCTGCTTTGCTGGCGTCACTGCCGTGCCTGCTGGGAGCACGACTGCCTTTGGCCTCCTTGCCGTGCCTGCTGGCGTCGGCTGCCTGTCTCGCCTGCCAAGCCTGCCGAGCCTGCCGAACCTGCTGCTGCGCCCGCTGCCTCCCTCCTGCAGCTACAACATCACCGTCACCCACTCGATGTTTGCCGAGGTGGACCACTACCGGCAGGTGCGGCCCCCTTCCGCTGGTTAGGCTGGCTCTGCTGCTGGCTTGTTTGGATCTGCTGCCAGCTGGCCAGGGCTGGGTCTGTTGTTGTTTAGGCTGGCTCTGCTGCCGCTGATGAGGCTGAGGTTGGCACTGCCCGGGCCTCTGGTGGGGCCTTGTGTGGTATTGAGTTTCGATGCTGCTTGTGGCGGTACGTCCCGTACCTCTCCCAGTCCTTGCTGCGCCAGGCTCGTGCTCCCTCGGGCGGCCGCCTGAGGGCGTTGGCTGCCGCCTGCGCTTGCTGTGCAGCACCACTGGCGGTGCGAGCGGTGCGGCAATGTGGTGAAGCGGGCCATGAACCGGCCGCCGCAGGAGGCGGACTGCAGGTGGGGTCAGGGGCGGCGGGGGGGGCAGGGGCAGGGGGCAGGAAGCGTGCAGCTATGTTGGCATGGGAGGCGGCAGCATGGGATGCATGACCTCATTATTCAACATGTCTGGAAAGCTTGGAGATGAGCTGATGTGCATGGCGCCGCGGCGACTGCGCAGGGGTCGCGCCGGGCGCGGCGCCGACTGCCGTGACCCCGGCTGCCGCTGGCACATGCACATCAAGCACTGCGGAGGCGCCTGGGTCAAGGTCAAGGAGCCGGAGGGGTTTGGCAAGAAGAAGGGCGGGAAGAAAGGTGGGCAATGGCTGCAGTGTGTGGCAGGGCGTTGGAGGGAAGTATGCCTGTGTCTGACGGGAGCTGCCGCTCTGCAGTCGCTGCCGCGGGCAGAGCTGTCAAGGACCGGGCACCCACAATGGTGCTGCTCATGTCTGCCTGCCTGCAGGTGCCACTGCCGGCGGCGGCGGCAACAGCAGCAGCGGCGGTGGTGGGGATGCGGGTGGGGCCAAGCGCCCAGACGGCGCGCATGTACCCGCCAAGCGCCCCAGGAAAGGCGAGCAGCAGCAGGGGGCCGGGGGCCGGCCAATCACCGACTTCTTCCCTCGCACAGAGGGCGGCGCTCGCCCGGCGGCGGCGGCAGGCGCGTGTGAGGTGCTGCCCGCGCTGCAGGCTGTGGCGGGCGCCGCGGGCGGAGCAGGGCCAGCAGCGGAGCCGCCTGCCGAGGAGCGCCGCCGCCTGGTGGCGGAGGCAGCCATGCGGCGGCTCGGCGCCTTGGCTGGGTCTGGGCCCCGCAACAGTGCGCCGCCCCAGCAGCAGCAGCAGCAGCAGCAGCAGCAGCATAGGGAACCACAGCAGCGGCCACAGCCACAGCAGAAGGAGCAGCAGCAGCGGCCACAGCCACAGCACAAGGAGCAGCAGCAGCAGCCCCTGCGCAAGCAGCAGGAACAGCTGGAGCCATCAGGGAACGGCGGCGCCGAGGCGCCTGCGCCCGCTGCTGCCACCCCAGAGGTTGTAGACCTTGTGGGCGGCAGCAGCGACGAGGAGGAGGGGCAGCATGCGGCAGCGTCGGCCGGCACTGGCATCCGTGCTGGCACAAGCGGAGTGCGTGAACCAGATGCCACCGCCGGGCCCTCTGGCAGCGGCACGGCCGCCAGCCTGGAGTGCCCCATCTGCGGGCGGCGCTGGGCCGCCGGCGAGCTTGATAACACCCAAATGAATGCACACATCGACGAGTGCCTCAACCTGTCTTACCTCGACGCCTAGCCTCCTCAGCATGCTCGGGTGGCTCTGGAGGCTGCGTGTATCACCCGTGCTGCATGCTCCCCTGTCATGATTTCGTGGACATGTGTATAGCCCTTGCTTTCGGATTTTCAGCGTACATGCCTTGCAGCATCCTCTCTTGTTACCATTTCGTGCAGGAACAGTTGTTTCTTTCACAAGATCATGTACAGCCAAAATGCAAGTGTCGCAAACGAATGGCTGGCCTGCGTCAGCGGTACAGCGGCACCGCCTCCTCAGCGGAAGGCATCGGTGTACATGCGGTTGTAGATGCCGCGCAGCTGCTCGGGGGTGGCGCCGCAGTACCAGCTCATCCCGATGGCCACATGTACCACTGCAGCAGGTACGGGGGAAAGGCAGAAGCAGGACCAGGCGAGGCTGTGCCAGTTACATGGCAGGCCATGGCATTCGCAAGGCTGAAGTGCGGCCCTGCTATGCCTAGGCTATGGCACCCCAGGCGGCCGCTCCGCGGTGCCGCCTCACCTGTGGCGTGCAGGCTGCCCCAGCTGGCCAGCCGCCGGCCGCTGGTTCGGTTGGGCACCGAATTGACTTGCAGCACCTGGCCGCGGCGCCCTGGGCGGTCCGCGGGGCCTGCACGCAGCACAGCATAGAGCGCACCATCCTATTGCTTCTCACCCGTTGCTTGTTGCTTCGCCAACATGCACCACTGCACCACACCATCTGCCAGCTCCGCCCCAGCAGCAGGCCTGCCCGGCCGCAGCTGGCCGCGAGCCACCAGCCGCCTGGGCCGCCGGCTACCCTACCCGCCATGTGCATACGCATGCATAGGTCTGCATCCTCCATGATGGGCAGCCGGCTGTCGTAGCCGCCCACCCGCCTGCAGGGCGGCCGCACCAGCCAGGGCAAAATAATCCGTGGGTGGCTCGGGGGGGTTGCAAATGTGGCCAGCGCGGGACGTGGCTCTGGCCAAGCCGGATGCCTGCAGGGCGGCGCTCCTCATCCCGGGCAGGGCGCTCCTCATCCCCAAGCGCACCGAAAGTCGTCGGCCCGGCAGAACAGCGTCTGGTCTCCGAACAAGCAGCGCAGGCCCCTGCGGCAGCACGGCGGCCGGCCAGGCGGCGCGGCAATTTAGCAGAGCGAGGACATGCACCATGAGATCTGCCATGCACAGCATGCCTAGCGTCATGCAGTACCGACATGGGAAGCTCCTCCCAACCAGCCCGGGCCGCCCGGCCAGCACCGTCTTGTGCAAGCAGCGCCCTGCGCCTGCGGCGACCTGAGGAAGCTGAGCGGGCGCAGGAGGAGGGGGCCGTAGTACGTCTTCATGGTGTTGTTGGCTGAGAAGAAGCGCAGCGGCTGCCCCTCGTACTCTGCACGCATAGAACAGGGTGCAGGTGGGAAGATCCCACGGGGCAGGAGCAGGAGCAACAGCAGCGCAGGCAGCAGCGGGCAGCCGCCTGCGCAATGCGGCGACCAGCGAGTCGTAGGGACGGCAGCAGCCCCGGCCCAGCAGGAGCAGGGCATGCCCTGGGGACCGGCACACACCGGCTTCCCGCCACGCCCTCTCCCACACACCCCCACACATCACGCACCTATCACCGGCCTGAACGCGCCCAGCACGATGGCCGGCCGGGCCAGCGTGCGGCGCACCACCTCCACCAGGGTCCGCGGCGGCGTGGTGTCGGCGTGAGCAAACACGAAGATGTCGCCTGCAGGCAGCGAGGTGGGGGGGACCGGGAGGAGCAGTAAAACATCCAGAGTGTAGGGACCCAGCGAGCCAGCGGGAAGGCCGACATCGCAGTCGGATTGGCTGCGAGGGGCCGGGCGCTGCAGGGCGGCGGCAGTGCGCAGGCGAGCGGCGGCTGGGCGGGCGCCGGCAGCCTGCACCCGACCTGAGGCGGCGGCTGCCCCCGCGTTCATCTGCCGCGCGCGGCCGCGGCCCGCCTGCACCACACGGGCGCCACACCGCCGCGCCACCTGTACCGTGCGGTCGCTGCTGCCGCCGTCCACCACAATGACCTCTGCTGCCGCAGGCTGCAGCCCGTGCTGCAGGCAGCGCAGCGTGCGTGCCAGCCCCGCCTCCTCGTTCAGGGTCGGCACAATGATGCTGACGGCGGGCGCCTCTGGATCCAGCTTGGCCCGCTGCCGCTGCTGGTGCCGGGCGCGGCCAGCCCTGCCGCCGCCAAACAGCTCTGCGCGGCGCTCGGCATCCCTGCCCACCGCCTCCTGGTACTGGAGGGCAGCCAGCGCCTCTGTTCCGACGGCCCAGACAGCTGCGTACAGCAGCGGCAGCGGGAAGGTGCGGCGGCGGCCGCCTCCGCTGCCATCCCCGCCGCCGCTGCCGCCGCCGCTGCTACCGCCCCCTCGGCCGCCCCCATCGCCGCTGGCTGCGCATCGAGGCGAACGCTGCCGATGCTGAAATTTGCGCCGCGCCGCAAAGGGTCCTGCCCGGCAGGCCAAAGGATGGCCCAGCGATGCACACATGACGCAGGTGCTTTCAGCTATAAAGGATCGATACCAATGTGGGGTGCGAGGTGGAATGACGAATCGCCATTGGCGATGCGAAGCCACCTGGCACCAGCTGTGCTGCGGCGACTGGTTGCGGGCGGGGCGCCAAATGATGGTAGCCAACATCCCTGGCAGTACAACAGATCGATGACTATGCACCTATTGAACACGTTGCGGCTGGCAGGTCATGTGACGGCGGATGCTCCACCCGCTCACCGCCGTCACCGGCTGACCCTGAGTCCGAAAAATGCCTAAACTGCCGTGTATCCGCTCCCCATGTCTGCTCTGTGTCCCATATGACACAGCCCGAGCGGATTGTGTAAGGCAGCCTCTTGGTCAACAAGCTCGCCCTGGCTTGTGACCCTTTTCCACGGCGCCCCACCGCCGTCGTATCGCCCCGCCCCCAACAAGTACAATTGGCGCTCAAAGGCGCCCGTTCCACAGAACCGCATTTCCCACCGTCTCCATCCACCGAATTTGGCTACTGCAAGCGCGCATGCGGGTGCATGGCTCGAGCCTGAGGCTCCAGCCAACCCTAGCGCAGCGGCCGCTCACGCCAACCGCCGGCATGGCATACAGAAGCTTGACGTCGATGAATGCAGCGAGTTGCGATGCGCGCCGACAATCTGGCAGATGGGTCGCTGGTGCACCGCCGCTGCCGCCACCGCCCCGCCGCCGCCTGCCCGGCGACCGCAGCATTGCGCGTGGCATGCGGCGCAGAGCCGCGCAGGGCGGCCGAGCAGACCAGCCCGGCTGGCAGCAGCAGCCCGAGGCCCAGCAGCCGCCCCCGACCTGGGAGCGGCAGGCGCAGGCGCAAGCCGAGTACCGGCAGGCACAGCAGGCCTACCAGCAGGCTGAAGCTGAGGTTGAGCGGGCACAGAAGTCTTACCAGGGGGCGCAGCAGGACGTCGAGCAGACCCAGAGGCTGCAGCGGGCGCAGGAAGAGTACCGCCAGGCGAAGGCCGCCCGGGAGCTGTCCCGCGCAAACTATGAGGCGATCCTGAGCAGGTACCAGGACTTTGAACGGGAGTTGCACGAGGCGCAACAGGAGTATCTGGCCGCCCAGCAAGCCCTGGCAGGCCAGCTGGGGCGGGCCGCAGCCGTGGCAGGCGGCGGCGGCGGCGGCTGGCTGGCCCGGTCCGACGGCTTTGTGATGGGCGTCGTCAGGCACGTTTTGGCTGGCCGGCATGTTTATGCTGCATGCTGCGCTGTCGCGAGCACAGCTGATCAGCAAGCGGTCTCCCTTCGGATGGGCAGCCTCGGCGGCGTCCACTGCTGCTCAAACCTGCCCCACCTGGCGCCCCGCCTGCCCTCTGCCGCAGGGCGCTGCTCACCCCGCTTCTGGCGCTGGCGGGGCAGCTGCGGGAGGTGCCCAAGCTGTTGGCCGAGCTGGCGGCGATGTTGCGGGGCACGGCGGAGCTCGCCCCTCAGCTCTACTGCCCCAGGCCCGGCTTTGTGATGCGCAGGACCGCCCAGGCGCGCAGAGCCCGGCAGGCGGCACAGCCTGTTTTGTGCAAGCTGCGGCCGGCAAGGCACAGCGCTGTGTGCTGTTGGCTGCGCTGTGGGCAACTGGCGGGACGCATGAACGGCTCCCGCACCTGGCGACGCGACCGTGAGCCTGAGTCTGCCTCCTTGTTGGCTCCATCCTGCAGGTCCTGCTGGTGGTGGCTTTCTTCCTGGTGTATGTGTGGGCAGTTGACCGGGTGTTTGCCCACATCCCACGCGGCATTGCCTGGTCCCAGGCCCACCAGGGCTGGTTGCGGCGGGCGCTGGAGGGCGCTGTGGGGGCCGCCAGGCAGCGGCTGGTGGGCGGGTAGCGGCGGGCGGCGATGGCACACCCTTTGGCAGGCCAAGGACGCCTAGCGCTCTGGTGCTATCAGTAGAGCCTCTGCGTAGCGCCATTTTATCTGTTACCAACCACCTTCTGTCTATCGAATGTCAATTTCATTGTTCAACCTAGGGCAGTGATGTCCACCTGTCTCTATCGAATGTCAATTTCATTGTGCAACCAGGGGCAGTGATGTCCACCTGTCTCTATCGAATGTCAATTTCATTGTGCAACCAGGGGCAGTGGTGTCACAGATCTGACGCAGCGAGCATGCAGGGCAGGGCGGCAGAGCGCGCAGGCACGAGAGAGCTGATCGGCAGAAGGCAGACTGGCACAATGTACAGGAATTCCACGGGCTAAGTTGAACCTTTCCCAAATCTGCCAGGATCAAAGCAGAGTCCCCGGGCCAGCCTGGAACCTGGGCCGCCTTGGAATGCCACAGAGGCTGTGCCTGTCAGCCAGCGGGGACCCCCGGGCCCAGCCCCGGGTCAGGGAGATGATCGCCACCTGCGTGACCACCAGTCACGCGGGCGGCGGCCAGGGCGCGCCCGCCATCACCGCCTCCACCTCCTCTATGCTGCGCGGCACGTCGCACATGCTCTCCGCGCCATCCGCCGTCACTACCACGTCATCCTCGATGCGCACGCCGCCAAAGTCCTGTGGGAGGGAGCAGGCAGGCGGAGGTAGAGAAGTGTGGCTGAATACGGCGCGTGGGTGGATGTGTGGGTGGGGCCCAGGATCCGGGGCTGCTGACCTGATGAGGTGCAATCCATTGCAGCACAAGCAGCGGCAGGGCAGGTGTTTGCAGCTAACGAGACGCAGGCTGCTGGGCAGCCAGGGGAGCGGCGGTGGCTGCCGCCGTCGCTGCCTACCACTGCTGCCTGCCGCTGCCTGCCCGCCGCTGCCGCCGGCTGCTCACCATGAACTGGCGCACCCTCTCCTCCACCAAAAACCGCCCCAGCTGCTCATCCCCAAAGGCCGGCTCCAGCAGGGCCCGCGAGAAGTAGCAGCCTGGGCGGGGAGCGGGCGGCGCAGGGGTTGGCGCGTGGACAGGCGGTGCTGGTGGGGTGTGTGGCGCTGATGGGGTTCTTGTGTGGAAGGGCGCACACGCCCGTGTGTTTATAAGTGCAGTTGCCAGCAAGCAGTGCAGCTGCCAGTTGGCAGCAACTGGGCAAGGTGCCAGCTGGCAGCAACTGGGCAAGGTGAGGCACACGCACTTGCCAGGTGGCAGCGCGCGCCAGCCTGGCGCCAACCTGGCGCTCCCTCACCCGGCTCCACAGTGATCACCATGCCCTCCTCCAACACCCGCGCCGTTCGCAGGCGGGCCAGCCCCGCCGCCGCCGGCCGCTCTGCGGGCGCGTCGCGCGGTCGGAGGCGGTGGAAGGCATGCAGAAGGGGCAGCCCTCGCCCAAGGGAAGCAAGCACGCAGGGCGTGGGGCGGGCGGGCCATGTGCCGGTGAAAACAACACAAAATACTGGAATGCAGGCAGGTGGCGGCTTCATTTCTGGTGCAGACACCAGGCTACGCCACAGCTGCACACACACACACATATACACACACCTGGGTGCCCCGGCAGGTAGCCGCCCACATCATGTGTGTCCAGACCCAGGAAGTGGCCCAGGCCTGCAGGCAGCGGCAGGCAGCAGGGAGGGGAGGGCCGTGTCACAGCAAGGCCAGCAGGCAAGACGCTGCAGCCACCCGCACCACCTGCTCGCTTGACAGCACCAGCCGCTGCAGCGCTCAAGCCCGTGTACCCGCCGGCAACCACACACACACACACACACACCACATCGCCGCCGCCTGCGCCTCCTCCCCAGCAGCGGCAGCGCCAGCAGCCCAGGCCCAGTGCAAGGCCAGAGCGCACCGTGCGGCATGAAGACGGCCCCTAGCCGCGCCTCCACCATCGCCTCCACCTCCCCCCGCAGCAGCCCGCCCGCCAGCAGCGCCGACAGTATGGTTCGCTCCGCCAACAGTTGCATGTCCTGCAGGAGAAGCAGTGGAGGGAGGGGAAAGCAGGAATGGGAGGTTTCACAGCTGCACGGCTGGCAAACGCCCCAGCAAGCAGCTGTGATGAAACACCGCCGGCCAGGCCCCCAGCGCCGCCTGTGTGAGCACAAGCACCATGGCCCGTTGCGGCCTCCCGCCCCACCCTGTGCCCGCACCCCACCCCGCAGCAGCGCACCGGCCAGCGCACTCCCGGCTTCATGGCAGCGATGACGCCTCGGTTGGCTGCCAGCACAGCATTGTAGACCAGGGCCTGGTCTGGGGTGAAGCTGCCGGTGGTGGGGAAGGTGCAGGTAATGTCGGCGGCATACCTGCGGTACCGCGGGCATGCGGTGCAGCAGCATTCTAAATAGCGGTACATGAGAAAGGCAGGGGGCGCGACAGGCAGCTGGAGGCAGCCGATCTTGGCATGTGGGGCTGGTGCTGGCGTGCAGCCTGTTATGCAGCAGCTACAGCGGCTGGGCCAGGCATGGCATGGCAGTATGCAGTACCAGGCAGGACCATCACCTGTAGTACTCTGCCCCCGCATCCACCAGCAGCAGCTCGCCCGCCCGCATCTGCCGGCTGTTGGGCGCGCCTGCATGCCCGTAGTGCAGGATGGCTGCAGGCAGGCCGGCGCGAGGTGGCAGCGGCGGCAGCTCAGCTGAACCATGGACCCCACTCACCGCGCTGCGCCTCCCTGCGCTGCTGCGGCACCATCCAACTGCTGCCGGCTGCTGCTGGGCAGCGGCCCCAGCGTCGCAGCCCCCACACCGCCAGCGGCTGCCGCACCCGCGTTGGGGCCGCTGGCAAAGATGGGCGTGTAGTGGGCTCCCCGGCAGCCGCCCCGGCTGTACAGCGTGTGAAGGTACAGAGACTCCCCCTGGAACTCCCACACGCCAGGCTGGACGGCCTGTAAAAAAGGAGCAGACGGCGCAAACGGCGGCACAGCAGGGCAGAGGGCGACACAGACTGAGGCTCAACAAGGTGCAGCGTGGGTTCAAGCAAGAAGGTGCAGCGTGGGTTTCAGCAAGGTGCGGAGTGCTAGTTTCAGCAAGGGGTGCAGGCAGGCGCCGCAGGCGGCAGCCGCTCACCCGCATGACCTCCACGTGCGCCTCGCTGGCGGCACGGCACGCATAGCGCATGATGCGCAGCTCCAGCGGCGACTTGAACACGCGGCACTCGGACAGCACCTGCTTGCCGGGGAGGGCAGGCAGCGCGGCCGGGCGCGGGAGGCAGACGGCGGCGCTTCAGCCGCGTGCATGGCCAGCGCCCCCTGCTGCGAAAGGGTGAACACGCAGCTCCCGGCCACGCAGCTTCACTTGCAGCAGCTGGAGGGCAGGCCGACCCACCGGATAGAGCGCCTGCGTCTCCAGAGTGAAGTTCTCGATGCCCTCGAACATCACTGGGGGCATGGGCAGGCCGCTGCACGCGTGGCAAGGGTTCGGGAAGAGGAGGGGCGTCAGCTTCAGCTTCACCAGGCACAACCCCACCAGGCTCCCCACTGCGGCCAGGCCACCAAAGCTAACTGCAAGGGCAAGCTAGGGCAAGCAAGGGAGGGAGCTTGTTGAAGCGCGCCTGTCGGTGTTGACGCCGCCGTCCAGCACGTGCAGGCACGGCGCTGCCAGCTCGGCCAGTACCGCCGCCAGCTCATCGACGTGCCGCACCTCGTCCACGGCGTACTTGGCCTGCAGGGCAGGTTGTTGCGGCGAGGCCGACTGGTGCTCGCATGTGAGGTGTGAGTCTGCTGCCGCTCGTCCACAGGGCACTGGCAGGTTGGACCGACACGTGTGTCTGCTGCCGCTCCTGCACCGAAAAACACAGCCGTGCAGCAGGGCGGCTGCTCCAGCGCAAGGATACCCAAGCGCGCGCACCTGGGCCTCTGCTGGCGTGGGGATGTGCCCCATCCACACCGCGTAGCTGGCGGGCAGGCGGGGCATGAAGAGGATGGCGCGTTCGGAGCGCAGGTCAAACGCGCCGTAAAAGTCCTCGCCGTCGTTCACCCCAAACAGGTACTGAAAGTACGCCTCCTGCCTGCGCAGCGACACAGTCACCGCTTGTGGTGCGTAAGGCCGCGCGGTGGCGGCAAGGAGGCTGGTGGGAGGTAGGTGGGTGGGCAGCACAGGAGGGGCCAGGAAGGGGAAAGGGGGTGCCCCTCACCTGAACAGCGGCTCGTTGTCGGTGTTGTATAGGTGCTGCCCCTTGCCGCCCTGCACACAGCGGCACAGCGCCGCCGCCGCTGCTGATCGTTGCAAGCCCTGCCACCAGTTCCGCTGCTTGCGCCAGCCCTACAAACAAACATCCAGTGTGGCACTCAGACTGCCTGCTGCGGTGGGCATCCCTGCAGGCCCCACCTGCAGCACCACCACGCCTTGGTCCTCCAGGGGCAACCCGCTCAGCTCCCTGAACTTGTGCATGACGCAGGTGCGGATGCCGCCGTGCAGCTCGCCGCGCGACACGCTGCGAGGGCGCAGAAGGGCGGGTGACGGGAGGAACGGCGGCTGGGCGCCGGGTTGTGATGGAGCGGCAGGGGGAAGGCTGGTAGAGCGGTCTGTGCTGCAGCCAGGAGCATCGCCTGCTGCTGCACGACAGCCATGCGAGCTGGAGGCGAGGTTTGGCGGGGGAGGCGGGCGGCACCGCACCTCAGACTGGGGCCCAGGCGATACACGTCTGCTGCATCGTCTTCCATCGTGATTCCCAAGCCGGCCTCCCGACACCGATCGCTCGTCCCAGCGCAAACCCTCCCCTCAAGTGCGCAAACGAGGCAGCCCCAACTCGTGCAGAGGTTTGCAATGGCAAATGCAACCTGGACAAGCATCAGCGAAATGCGGCAGGGCCGGTTTAGTGCAGTTGAGGGGTGCCTGGCGGGCCCGCCACGTCACCGCCGCCCTGGCTTGCCGGCCCCTGGAGCAGGCACCAAACGGTGATGATCTGGGCACTCAATGTAATGCCTTATCTCACCACTAGACATGGTAGGCGAGTTTGCATTGCAGCGAAGAAGCGTGCCGCACATTTAAATCGGCAGGCGGCAGCCACCTGCTGGAGGCTCGCAGTGCGGGAATTGCACGTCGCCAGGCACGCCACAGTGGGCGCGGAAGTGGTGACAGGTTGATGACGCGGTCACATGGCCCAGGGCACCCACAGATCGATAGATCGTGCTGTTTGGAGGCAATGAACTCCAAACGTGCCAGCGCGGGCGGGATGAGCAAAAACTGCCATGGCGCCGGCGCCCCCCAAGCAGGCGGTCTCTCCCTCATCCTTCCTGTTAAACCTACACACATGCCCCGACGTGATCGCTCCGTGGTTGCTAGAAGGATCACAGAACAGGAATCCACATGGCTGCTGCCACAGACCTTCCAGTGGACCACCGTGCCCACACCGCCGCTGTCCGCCAACTACAGCACCCCTGGCCCCCGCTCAGAGCAGGCCACACGCTCCCCCATGCCGCATGCTTGCGAATAATTTACAGAGGTGCAGGCGCAGGGCGCCATGAGCTTTACTTCCACTGAAGCTGCATCCATCCACCGCTGCCTGCCAACTCCCGGCTCGGCTCACCGCGCCAGGCGCGGCGGCTGCTCCGGCAGCAGGCCGAAGCGCGACAGCCACTCGCCGATCACCACCGGCACGTTTGGGTTCAGGCCGGAGCAGCTGGCCAGCAGGCGCGCCTTCTGCAGCTCCGACACGTGGGCGCCGGCAGCTGTGTAGAAGTCGAGCAGCACGTAGAGCTTCGTGTCCTCCAGGCTACTCAGCTGCCCGGCAGCATCCGCCAGGTCAAGGTACTGCGCCACCTGGGCGCTGCAGCAGGACCAGCCAGGGGGTAACATGTGCTGCAAGCGGTCAGCGGCGGTGGGGCGAGGATCAAAAGCGGCACACACGTGTGAGGCCAGGCCAGTGGCTGGGAGGGAAGGGGAAGGGGAAGCTGGCCAGAGCCACACTGGCCACACCAAGCAGCAATGCATGCAGCGGCACACGAGGTGGCGCAGGCAAGCCCGAGCGCTGGCTCAGGAGCGAAGGGCGCTACCAAGCCAGCTGGGGCAGCAGCGGGCGCCTCACCTCAGGCCGCCGTTCAGCTGGAGCAGCTGTTTGCTGAGGTGCTGCAGGCGCGGCGGGTTGGGAAGCGGGCGCAGCAAACTCCCCTCTCAGGCTTGCTCAAGTGAACTGGGGCCCAGGCAGCCGCCAGCCGCCCGCCTGCGCCCAGGCCAGCGCAGCGCCGCGCCGGCCGCATCCCCAGCCAACCCGCAGCCCGCTGCCCACCCAGACACAGCTGGCGTCCCAGCCGGTTTCCTCTAACACAGCTCCCAGCACAGCTCCGAGCAAGGGCCCGACTCGCCTGCTGCACTTGGCGCAGCGTCGCCAGCGAGGCCGCTGACTGGCTGCTCAGCTGCTCCATGCGCGCCTGGAACTCGAGAAAGCATGGCAGCAGCGCCTCCGCCTGCTCTCGCGTCACCGCTACCGTGTCCTGCAAGGGCAGGCAGGCAAGGTGGGGCAGGAAGGGGGCACGTGGCACGTGGAGGCGGCGAGGCCCGGGGGCGGAGGGCGGCGGCAGGCATGGGGACGAAGTTCCTGGAATCGAGGGGAATTGGGGTGCCAGGGACGGCAGGCAGCTGGCTCGACGGCCATGTAACGATGCACGCGGCCCCACGCGTGGTGGTGCGCAAGCAGGGCAGGCACCGGCGCTCCCCGCCCGCCCCGCTCCTCGCCCGCTGGGCCGCACGCACCGCCACGGCGCGCCACCTCGCCGCCTCCGCCTCGTCGCTCTCCCCGGGCAGCTTGGTGAGGCTCATGAGCGGGCGGATGGCGGCGGGGCGGTGTCGCAGCAGGATGGCATCCAGGAGACGTTGTACAGCACGGCGGGACGCATGCGGGACACCGCCGCCTCCTCCCCGATCTCCCCGCGGTCCAGCTGGGCCACAGTGTCGGCGGCAA